TCATTATCTAACTCATGATTGTAATAAATTATGAAATATATTTGCACCTATACATGCTCATAAGAGCGAATTCTATTCATGTGTAAAAAACATAATTCTATTGGATAAATTTGTATTTATTATATTAAAGTGTATAAGACCATTTCTACTGATAGATAGGATAATTAAAATTATCCAAGATTAGCTCTTTTACTTTGCAGGATTAGGATAGGATTTATCTTATGTGCCGTACATGTGGTATGTGGGCCCCACAGACTTATCATTGTTTGGCTGATAATTCCGTCTCGGCCACCCTCTGGGATTGTGTTATCCCAAACCCACTTTGACCATTTTGTCCTCATTTTTTCATACGAAAAGACTAGAATATCCCTCAATGTCAGATTATTTACCATGGTTCTATAAACCGAACGGGTCATCGAACCTGTTATGCTACTGGTTCAATGGTTCACTAGTCGGACCAGCGATCGAACCGGTTTAATTAATATATAATTTTTTATTTATTTTATATGTATAATATATAATTATATATTTTATTATTAATTTTATGGTATATGACATTTTTCTAAATAAGAGTCATTAATATATACAATCGACAATGTTGAATAATGTTGTTAACTTTTTTTTCTTATTTTAGTTTTATATTTAAAATTTTAATTTATATTTAATTTACAAAATACAAAGAATAGAAACAACCCAATTTTCATTTTAAATCACATTTTAAATTTTTTTATTATTGATTAAAAAAATAAAAGATAAAAGTAATGTGCATAACAAACAAAAATAAAATAAATTGCTTCTTTTTAATTAAAAAAAAACAAAGTTGAGAATAGATATAGCCCAATAGATAATTCACTTCAAATAACAATACATTTTTTTAATAAGTACAATTTTGTTTGTTAGGCCCAATATAATTTCAGCAAGGAAACATATCCACATAGAAATACAAGTAAAAAAGGTTGTTATTTAAACCCCTTCACAATCTACCAAGTTCAAATTCATAAGCTTGAACCGGTGAACCATTCAAACCGGTCCCGGTTCAACCGGTTTTGGATCGGTTCGAACGGTTCTTGACCGATTCTCTTGCATAGCAGTTTGAAGGCTCAAACCGGACCAGAATGATGGCTGGTTCCGATCCGGTCCGGTTTTCAGAACAATGTTATTTAACATGAATGGAAGGGTAAATTAGAAATTTCAAGTTATATCATCTCATTTAATCTATGATCGTAAATGCTTGACTAGTTGCAGAATTTTGCATTTCATAACGTAAACATTAGACAAAATATTGACGTGTAAAGTTGATTGGATTATAATGTCCAATCCGGCAATCCCGTCCATTAAAGTAAATGATGCCTTAAATTTCAAACACAAGAAAGGCAAAAACATCCTCACCATTGCATTCATCATTGATAGTTAATGCCTTCTGATTCACTAACAATAATTAATGCTGTTAGCTCTATGGAGCAGCTAAAACAACTCAACTCTGACGACACTTGTATGTATGACCTCTTTAAAAATTTCCCGACCCCAAATACAATATTTTTCACCCACACCATACTTATTATACACTTATCATTAGCCACTCATGACTCCAAATTCAAATGTTCATTAACCTTATAGTCCCATCACCTCAAAATCTGCAAACTAGAAAAAAAGTGTGTTCTGTGCCTTGTCTTGAATAACCATATTGATTTGCAACCCACACATATATATAGGCTGACTTAGTTCATTAGTGATAACATCACTTGTCATTATCTTAAGGTGTCTCAATAGTCAAAAGGAGGAATGGTGGAGAAATATTCTAAATTTCCTACAATTGAAGAAACATTAAGATCACTAATTAATGGTTAGAGAAATGTACTTT